CTCTTTTGCGCAGCAATACATTTGCCAAAGCGTGGAAGGATGTGAATATCCCTTGACCAGTCACATAGAGCACTTCTTTCTCTGCCATCACTAGTTCCATCTTACAGAAGATCCATTCCTACCTTTACACTGGTTTTGCTTTGTCGAGCTTGTGGCAGGGGTGCACCAGTCAATGGCGCTGCAGCTGCTATTGGGACCGACTGGGTGTGAGCAGATGGGTCTGTTGTGCTGTTATTCTCTTTATGTGTCACTGTTGGAGTTTCAAGGACAGACTGGACTTCAACGAGAGTTGTGTGCTGTGGTGATCTTTAACTCAGGGCAGTGTGGTTGCTCTTGGCTCAGTCCTCTTTACTTGGGCCCCATAGTTGGGTAACTTGGGGCCTGCATCCTTGGTCTGCTACAGTTGGGAAGGTTCCAAACAGGAGTTTGTAGAACTTGCTGAGGGTATCAGGATCAAGGTATTTGTCCTGTTCTTTACTGAATCTTGGAAATAACATAGGGCTTTTATTCATAGGTGCTTGTTCAGTGATTTGAGATTTACTTTGTTAACCAAGCTGATTCTGTTGTACAGTTGCTACTGGTCAAAAAGACAGACATAATTGAAGGGACATGGGCAAGATTTCCATCTGTGGATATGTCTTTCAAGTTTTAGGGCTGTCACAGAAGTAGTCCCAGGGGGCTTAATGGCAGAAAGTCTTGAACGTAAGGATTCTGAACTTCAAGGCTGGCATTGGCAGGACCACCAGACAGGTATTTTCTGTCTGGTGAACTGAAGTAATTAAGGGCATTTCCTGATATGGAGTAATTTCAGGATTGATGACCCCCTACATGACTGTCCTCTCTGCTTTTTCCTGCACAATGAGAATCTTGACTAAATATCAACTGCTCTTGTCTGGCTTAACCTTCACTACAGTGTCCACAAGACCTGCCAAATTTCTGATATTGTAAACGCTAGCTGTAGCCTAATGACTTCGTTGGAAAAACCAAGATGTCAAAACCAAGTGTACATAACACGTCTGTTAACAGGATATGAATTTGGACAATTAAAAGGCCCTTCTTAGTTATTCCTCTTCTAGAAAGTGTATTGGCATTGGTGTTGGCATGGGGCTATTTATTTATTCATGGTTTCTTTTATCCTTTCATCAGCCTGGCATCTTTATGCATGGCATAGATTGATAAAACAGTTTTGCCTCTTTGGGGAGCACACTTAATAAATACTGAGCTACTTTCAAGTACTAATGGATTTTTTTTCTTATCCGCATCAGCTAAAATACTTTATTTTTATTTTAAGATTTTTAGCACTTACAACATTCAAGCAAAACTTTTTGTTAGGTAAAATATCTGCCAATTTTCTTAAGTGTTTTTCCCCCTAAATAGTGATGTTCACTTATCCAGTTAGCTTTATATCTACTGACGTGCTTTTTTGGTAATACAGAATGTTGTCTTTATAACCATGGAAGAGGTCTTTCCATCATCTTTCTGCCTGTAACCTCTGCAAGTAGTTTCTGTGCAACCTTCAAAGCATTTGCAGTCCTCATAACTCTCTCCATATTCTTGGGAAGCAACCAAAATCCCAAGATAACAAAAGTCTTGTGTCCTTTTTTCTTGTCCCGCTCATACCTACCTAAGAGAGGTGACTCCTGAAGGTCAGTAACAGTGCAATCCTAAAGATGCCTTCCTGGGATTAAGCCCCATTGAATAGACCTGCATACAATGGCATAATCAAAGTACTTAGATAGCATCTAGTGAATTTTAAAAATTGAGTTCTTCTGTGTGGTGATCATAGGAGAATGTTTCCGTGAAACACGGTATTCTGTTTTGATGTGTAAGTTGTGCATAGTAACTATGCTCAGTGTAGTAGAAGGGGCAGAAGTCTTTTAGTTTCACATGACATTTCTTCAATGTAAATTGTGTTTAAATACCATAAAGTGATTAAGGAGTAACCTTAGCTGTTCAAATTCAGATTTCCTCTTCCCTTAACGTTCTCTTGCTAACCTAAATACGTTAGGCCTCGTTTTTAGACTTTTAAGAAGCCTAAAGAAGTAGCTATTCAGACTCATAAAAACCTTTTGCATTATCTTCTAAATTGGCCATTTGACCAGTGCTTTAATCTTGTTTGATCATTGGGGTTAGGCATCCAGAAAACCTTTATTTCTCTGAGCTCAGGTTTTTTTCCCCCTGTTAGAATTCTGTAGAGTTCATCTAATAGTGTCGCACAATCCTCACTTGGTTGGGTGGAGCAAATTTCTGGGCAGCCACTTTCCTCTTAAGGGGAGACCTCTGATACATTTTTGTAACTCCATTTGCAAGTCTGGCCATAAGGACACCCTTTCAGTTCCTCAAAGCTGCTTCTTGTCCGCTTGTTGCAAAAATGTGAAGTCTAGACTTGAGGTCCAAAGTTTTTATCAACCCTATGCCCAGGTAACTGGAGTGTCTTTGGTAGCCATCAGCCATTAAAGGCTGGTTAAGCAGTTGGTTTCCACTATCAGACTTTCTGAAGCTGAAAGAGAGGAAGCCAGTTGGTGTAGCAAGGGCTTTGTGTAACTACAGAGCACACTCACTGTATTTAAAACTGTTGCCATGGATGTGGAAATGCAGTCTTAATACAGCATCACCTTGACACGATGTGGAAGATGAGTGGGTGCATAAGTCTCGGCACGGGGCGTATTATCATATATGAAGGACGGCTGTATCTTTTTGTGTCACCGGAGGCATCTTAGGCGGAAGTGCCTCTTGTAAATAGCAGGGGTTGTATATCGGTGCTTGTTTTCAGTCTCTTTTGGTCAGAACCAGTGTGAACAGAGGGGTTGTTCCCCCCCCCCGATAATTGGCTATGGAAACAAGCTGTAGTTGTGCAGCAGGGTCCAAATGGAGCTCACAGGCTGTGCTGAGAAGACGGGCTGTGTTCTGGGATCTGTGCTACAAAAGTCCGTGTGCAGGTTCATGGCTCTGCCATGTGTATATGTGAAGCTGCATTACACCAAGCCTGACTATATCATGCACACTTACTGGGCTTGAGACAGAGAGGTCTTCACCAATATCTGTGATCATGCTGTTGATGCCGGGGATTTAGCCTGGGACCCTTTGGCATGCAAAGCGTGTGCTCTGTCACTAAGTCATACCCTCCCCTAGATACCAGCACGGCTCCACAGCAGGGGTCCCCAAGCTTTTTGAGCCTGCAGACACATTTGGAATTTTGAGAGGGGGTGGTGAGTACCACCCCAAGAAAATGGCTTCTGAAAGAGGTGGAGCCATACCCCCAAATGGCTTCCACAGGAGGCAGGGCCAAATGGAATACCTCACCCTTCGCACCTCCTGGGAAGAAGGAAAGCCTAAAGGGGGAATGGAACCACATGGACTAAGAAAAAGCCCAGGTCCTTACCAGTTCTCCTGATCTTCCAGTGGGAAACCCTTCCATTTGAATGAAGGCAGCCAATAAGAAGCCCTGCCTTAACAATAACCCCGCCCACTTTCTGAAAAGCTTGGGGGGCACGAAGGGAAGTACTGGTGGGTGCCCTTGGGCACTGTGGTGGGGAACCTTGCCCTGCAGTATGCCAGCCCCTATCACAGCATTCCTGGTCTTGCTTGCTCTGTGGTCAGGTTCCTGCTTTAAAGTGCTTCAAAAACAGTCATAAGAACATAAGAGATGCCAATGTTGGATCCGGCCAAAGGCCCATCCAGCCCAACACTCTGTCACACAGTGGCCAGAAATACCAGGGGCCATCAGGAGGTCCACCAGTGGGGCCAGGATATTAGAAGCCCTCCCACTGTTGACCCCCCCAAGCACCAAGAAGACAGAGCATCACTTGCCCCAGAGCCCCTATCTATACCTTGTGGCTAATAGCCACTGATGGACCTCTGCTCCATATGCTTATCTAATTCCCTCTTGAAGTCAAACAAGAAGTGCTTGTTTTCAAGGCCACCTAAACACAAGAGCTTAACATGACGATATGTCTTTGGAAAGGAACACCTTGGTGCGTTTTAAAACCCCAAAACGGGTATGTTGGGGGTGGGACACTTTCTTCTACACGTATCTAAATATAGCCTGTATCAATTAGACAAAACTCACCAGTGTATCACCTACTATTTTGGAGAGAAGAATAGGTACCCTTCAAGTATGCGGAGGGGAAATGCAGCACCTAACACCTCTGCAGCTGTCAGCCGATGCGGGAGGAAGTGAATCATCTCCTGCTTCGAGTGTCTGGATGACTGTGGCAGTGGTGCATAGATCCCGATTTCCCAGAGATTAAATCTTCTTGTAAAGCATAATATCCTTTTCATAAAGCTGGTCATGCTGCTGTTAGTTCTGCTACCGCACTTAACCTTTGCCGATTTTGAGAATCTGTCATTTCAAAATGAGATTCCGAATGGCACTGAAACGTCCTACAGTGTTGGATTCAAAAGACTGTGAGCAGAGAAAAGATGGCCACTGATGTAGTTCCTGACTTGCTTGTGCAGGAGTTCACAGAGTGCTGTAATAGGTTTGGCAGCCTTGCACAGGCCGTAGAGCATCTTTTTGGATTCACTTTTATGTTTCTCACACAGTGCTGTAGAGCGAGGTATAAACAGCCCTTCCATGGGTAGAAATGCCGACTGTGTGCACAGAGGTGCATATTGAGACCAGCAATGTTAGTCCCCTTTTGAGAGGGATGGTTTGGTATTTCTAATGGAAAGTTTTTAAGCCCTGAAAATCAAGAAAAAAGTTCCTGTTCTAATGGAGTAAAATAACCTCCATGAGACCCGGTGAAATTAAATTTGTCGTCTGTTTATATGCCATAATTTGAAAATTTTCAAGGAAGTTTCCAGCATTATAAAACAATTAAATGCTTAATTAAAAAATTAAACATGCCACTGGGGGTCAAACTTTGCTCATAAAAATAAAATTCGGTTAATAATTAACATGAGATTAAAAACCCAACCTCCTGCCAACCTAGCAGTTCGAAAGCAAGAAATTGCAAGTAGATAAATAGGTACCACTTCAGTGGGAAGGTAACAGCGTTCCGTGCACCTTGGTGTTTAGTCATGCCGGCCACATGACCACAGAAACGTCTTCGGACAGCGCTGGCTCTTCGGCTTTGAAACGGAGATGAGCACCGCAACCCTAGAGTCGGATTCGACTGGCTTTCGAGCAAGGGAACCTTTACCTTTAAAAACCCAACAACTGCCCCAGAACTTATTAAGCTTCATACTGACTCTTAGATGTGATATGAAGTTCATCCAGATTTTCACATGACATCACTGTTTCTGTTAACTGGAGACATCTCTGCGAGAGCCAGAAATGCACATGGGATAGGGAGCTGGTGATTTCCTCATGTCATCACTTCTAAACAAATACAAATGAAGGCCAGAAGTCTTGATGGGAGGATGAAAATCCAGCTCCATCTTACTGAGAGTCCCTTATAAATGATGGGGGAGATGTTGCTAGTTTTTGTAGAGATGAAAGAGGGAGGAGAGATGCCTTTTGACGGCTTGAAAGGGAATGCTGGAACCATGGGACCAGCCGGGGAAAGCACAGTGTGCAGACTGCAGTGAGGAGGACCACTGGGTGAGATCAAGTGGAAGTGCCGGTGGGACCCAACCCAGTATATGATGTAAAATAATACATACACATGCATAGTGTTTGCATTTCTTTCTTTGAAAATACAAAATGGTAGTGTCCCCATTGCCCTCAGTGGTTCGATGTGGCTTGGTATCAGTTAAAACTTTTTTTAAAATGAGCTGCCGCTTTATGGCAACAAAAAGTTTTCATTCTCGAGATGCTGAGCTAGTACCATACTCTCGGGATGTGTTCTACAAGAGTAAATGCAGACATAGATGGCAGTAGGTTTTAGAGTGTTATGTGCATGCAATAAAAGTGAATTGGCTTGGGTGGGCAACTTCCTCAAGCCAAATAATCAGCACTTGCATGTTATACTTTCAGGTTATTTCTTGTTATAGAGTACGTGAATGGGGGTGACCTCATGTTTCATATGCAACGTCAAAGAAAACTCCCAGAAGAACACGCAAGGTATTCTTTTTTTTAACTGCTGATGAAAGAATATTTTCTTTTGCTGCTGTCTGCAAATTGCTGAAGTTGTAGATGCAGGTATTCCAGCATGAACACCTTACGGGTTGCATTCAGAGTCTGCCATAGTCATTGATTCTGTTTGGGTGCAATCCCTTTTCTTTTCCACTGAGCTGCTTTGGGGTTTCCAGTGCCCTTTTATTGGCACCTTCCTAGTTTTAAAAAATGGCTATTGTAAGCATACCAGGGGCCAGCTTTGTTGCATGCAGTAATTACCCCAGAAGCATGACAGCATGTGTTCGGGATTGGATAAAAGCTCCTAGCAAAACTGAGATTTCCGTTGCAGAACCGAGGTTTGTTGTGTTTATGGCATTCAAATTCTCATCATGTGTGAATGAAACAGAATTAGTGTAGTTCTTTGCAGAGTGTCCAGATTGCATTTGAGGTTTGTTTCCTTAAAACAAAAGGAACCAGCTGTCATTAGTTTACACTCCCCTCAGTGTGTGAAATCTCCTTCTCATTTAAGGTTTTACGCTGCTGAGATCTGTATTGCTCTGAACTTCCTACACGAAAGAGGCATCATCTACAGAGATTTAAAATTAGACAATGTTCTCCTGGACGCAGAGGGTCATATCAAGTTAACAGACTATGGCATGTGCAAGGTAAACTTACTCTTTGCATTCAGGCCATGTTCTCACTCTTCTGCAGTACTGTGCTTTAAGGCTCAGAATCTGATTAAGGAGACAACTCAGATTTACTCCAGTGGAATCATTTCATTAAAGCAAGCACTGTAAGGTACGCTGCTGGCATCAAGAAGAATTCCCCTGCCCTCTGGTTTGGTCTTCCTTGTAACCTCAGTGCAAGCCAGGGCATATGACATCTTTCTCAGAACCGCAAGGTGCTCTTCCTGGTGGTCATCTGTGCAGGCAGGCATCATGCCTCTCTGAAATGCAGAGTTCTCAGTTCATGTAGATTTAGAGTCTCTGGCAGCTTCAGAAGACATCAGAGGCAGCACATGCTTTCCCTCCTCCTTGGCATGAGGGAAATGCAGGAGGAAGGCACAAGCCAGGAGGGAGGGGGAGCTGAGTGCTCCTGAGATGCCAGCTTGGTACAGTGGTGAGTGTGTCAGATTGGGCTCTGGGAGGTACAGGTTTAAATCCCTTTCCTTTTATTCATCAGCATAGAGCTGGGGTCACTAGGGGAGTCGAGAGGGAGGTAGCTGTGAATTTCCTGCATTCTGCAGGACTAGATTGGCTGGACTTGATGACCCTTGGTGTCTCTTCCAGCTCTATGTTTCTATGCTTGGCCAAAGGCCTTCAGCATGAAACCAATACAATAGAATAAAACAGAACAGACAACAGGATAAAATATTACAAAACTCATAAACTCTTTTCCCATAAAAGGTCAAACTAGAACCCATCTAAGGCCCCGGTCACACGGGCCGGATATCGCGGGGAGAGGCGTGGCTAATTGCCCCGGCGCAGTTTGATTCGCGATTAGGTGATCAGATGTGCCAGCGGCACACCACAGGTCCTTCCCTTGGGGGTCCCTCGAGGGACCGGAGGGGAATGCTGTGCGCCAGCACGATCACACCACGGGCGTCTGGAGGCAGCCTGTGGCAAACGTTTACTAGTGCCTTGGAGGTACTAGTTTTTTAACACGCATTGTCGGCGGTAAGCCACGGGTGCGCTCCACTTCCCAGATGTTGGGGTGTGATCGCGCCCGGATAATCCGCCGACCTTCCGTGCCTCTCCCGTGGCAACTTTGCCGTGTGACCGGGGCCTTAGTAGTGTTTTAAGGAAATCACTGTTTCCAAAAATGTGGTGATAGATTAAGTTATTTCTGGATCAGAATCTGCTGACAACAGGGGGCACCCAGGATTGAGCAGGAAGTTGATATCTAGCCAGATTAAAAGCCCCCCTCTGCCATGAATTTTTCTGGGCAACCTTTGAAGTAAGTTAGACAGAGCCAGATTTTTTTTTTTGTCAGTTGAAGCTACTTCACAAGTTGTTTGAGAGAGCAGAGTAAGGTTGAACCATGGCTTCCTGTTAAGGAGTTGAGAGTGGCGGGGCAGGATAAAAATGTGCTGGATATGGAAGGTTCTGTGACTGCCCTGCGCATTAGTATGTATCAGTACCTCCTGTTATGTATGTGACTGTGCACTTAAAGAACAGCAGTTAGCGATCAGGAGCAAGCCCTAGGATTGGTTCCGCCAACACGGAAGGTAATCACAGTTGAGTTTCTTCCTTCTCACGCAGTACCAAGTAAATGAAATTGCTGCACCAGCTATGATTGTATTCCATTGCTACTTTGAGTGCAGTGTTAAAAATTTTATTTGGGGGTACCAGCTTCAGCTAACTGTGCTATACTTGAAAACATTTTGACTTCTGAATCTTGCAGGTGTTGGTGACACATCCTTCCCCAAAGAGGAAGGAAAGGTCATATGTACCTTTTCTAATTGAACTGTGTTGGTTGCTCTCGTAGGAGGGATTGGGCCCCGGTGACACTACAAGCACTTTCTGTGGAACGCCAAATTACATTGCTCCAGAGATATTACGAGGAGAAGAGTATGGTAAGTTGGTATATAGAGCATGTAATGATTTAATTGCAGGGAGTCATTAAAAAAATCTCATTTCAAGCTGCTATTGATGTGCTTCCTATTTAGATGCATGCCACCACCATTAAGTAGAGAGAACAGATTAACTGCATGGTTTGTATGTTACGGGCTTCACTCTTTTGACAAAAAGGTTTATTACTTTCTTTTAGAAATGTACTTTGTGATGAACTGCAAGATTGACCCATACCAGTACTCTGTGTAGTTCCGTCATTATGGTGTGCTTCAGAGGAAATACAGAAGAATAGCTTGTGTCAGTTTTGAAGAACCCTCTGATATCTGGCCATGTATCTAGGCCCGTTGATAGACTGAGCTTCCAAGAGTGAGTGAAAGCCCATTTATCTTAGGTTGCCTCCACACAATCCCACAGCAATTAATTCCATGGAATTAATTGCATGGAGATAAAGCTCTAATGTTTCACCAGCCAGCATAATTGTCCATGATATGGCTCTGTTGTTATCTCATCCCTTTGGATTTATAGCAGAGAGTATAGATTAAAAACTACTGTGCAGGCCGAGCTCAAGTGTCTGGAAATGTGGAAATCTGAACAAAGGTACATAAATGCTTAGAAGGACTATAGTACACACAGGATTAAGCTTTGTTTTTTTGTGTTTGGCTTTATTGCATCTCCAATAATCCGGAAGATTCCTTAACATTTTAGAAACTATACCAGTTTTTCTTCACCCATTTTGAACTGGTGCTTTACAGTAACATGCACCCGTAACGTACCGTAACATCCCAAGCGTGACTCAATAAATTTATTAGTATTCCAGTCTGTAAAATGCTCTGACAATTTTTACTCTGCAGTTTGGAACTGTCTCTCAGCAGATACAAGCAGAAGCAACCCTGTGAAATTTGGAAACCTGTCGCTTCAAAGGGTATTTCTGAAATGCTGCTGTCTTTCACAGGGTTCAGCGTGGACTGGTGGGCACTTGGTGTCCTAATGTTTGAAATGATGGCAGGAAGATCTCCCTTTGATATTATTACTGACAATCCAGATATGAATACTGAAGATTACCTCTTCCAAGGTAACTTTTATTACTTGCATTTAGTTCTTCTGTCTGTATAATCCATCCGTTCACCTTGTCTCCCAAATACTTGTTGGAATCAAAATGTCTTCGATAGTTTTCCGAAGAACACAGCACAGGCTTGGCAAACATCTCTGGAGATGGAATTCTAAAGGAGAGAAGGCCGCTGTTAAAAAGGCCATGGTACCCAGTAGTCTGAATGTAGCTTAAAAAAGGGATTTAGAGCAATGCCTCTTCTAAAGATCCTATTGCCCAGAGAGGCTGACAAAGGAGTCATTCCCTGCATTAACAAAGATGGAGGCTTTTTTAATTGTGCCCAGAAATGAACTAGGAACCGACGTTGCAGTTTCATTGTGGCTATCACTCCTGCTGTTGAGTGTGTTGCTGCGTTTCTGGGCCAGTGGAAGATTCTGATTAGGCTTCAGAGGTCATCCTGCATAAGCAACATTATATATTTATTCATAATTTCAGTTCCTATACCGCCCTCTCCTGAGTTCACATTGCTATCCTCAGCCAAAAGCCTGGTGGGACATCTCTACCTTACATGCCCTGTGGAACTGCATAAGGTCCTGCAGGGCACGGGTGTTGTTTGGCAGAGAGTTCCACTGGGTAGGAGCCAGGGCTGCAATAGCTCTGGCTCAGGTTGAGGACAGCTGGACATCTTTAGGGCTAGGGATCACCAGTAGATTATTTCCAGCAGGGCATAAAGCTCTTTGGGAACATACCAGAGGAGGCAGTCCTGAAGACTGCTCAAGGCCTTAAAGGTCAATACCAAAACCTTGAACCTGACCTGATATTCCACTGGGAGCCAGTGCAGCTGAGGCAGCACAGGTTGACTATGTGCGGTCATGACTCAGGCCACCACATTCTGGACCACTTGGCGTTTCCGGATCAGTCTCAAGGGCAGGCCAGCGTACAGCAAATTACAGTAATCCAATCTGGATTAGAGCAGTCCAGCCTGAAGGCACCAAAATGTGTCAAGTCGTCCTCCTCTAAGGAAGTGCTGCACTCGATTATCCCCCCCCAAAGCTGCCTACGAGGCACTTGTGCAGCCACATCTGCTGTGGAATGATGCTGGATCATCAAGTACTTCTGCTGGTGTTTCAAAATACTCTAAACACGCCTACAGGTGTAGTGGCTTTCCATTTGAGGAACAAGGGAGTATGACTAGTCAGGAATGCTGTAAGAGGCTATTTCTCTCCTTCTCTCCCTTTCCCGACTCTGCTCTGCAGCCTCTTGTCTTGCTTTCCAGTTTTCTTGATAAAACAAATCCCACCACACTGACTCCTGGTTCACACCCCCATCTGGGGCAGCCCTGCCTCTTCCATGGTTTCCCCCTGTCTCAGACACAGCCCTTTCCCCCGATAGCTACTTTCCCTGGGTCTCTCCTGTTAGTGCCTTCTGTCCTGGTGTCTAGGCACTTCCTTTTTCATCCAGTTTGTACAATCGCTGCACTCCTGCATTCCCACTTACAGGCAAGACTGTACAGAGTCCTCAGTTAATCGTCTGCCCAAGCCTGTTGAATAATAATTATTGTACTTTTATCATCCCACAATAACGTGTCCTTCCTTTAAAATCTCATTTTAACAGTTATCCTTGAGAAACCAATTCGAATTCCAAGATTCCTTTCTGTCAAGGCCTCTCATGTCCTGAAAGGATTTTTAAATAAGGTAAGTCCCTGTCATGACATTTGTTGTCCGCAGTGAAGTTAGGTATTGCTTTTAAAAGATACTCTGGCAGTTCTTAGAGACACATAATGAAGAATGTTGTCCTAATGGATGCGGTTGTCATCTTCCAATTTCACAGCATTAAAATTCCAAACTTGATTTGAAATGGTTGAGTTCTTAATGTGAAGTATAAGATGGCCGGCCTTTTGCAAGGCCTTACTGAGTAATTGTTTTCATATGCATAATACCTGCTGCATTAGGTATGCAGTGCTGTCCTAACCAGGCTTAGTAGAAACAACTCCCAGAGTTCTGTGAGACTTGCTGGCTAATAAGCATGTTTAGAATTGCAGCCGTAGTCCATTTAACTAAAAGCGGAAAGGTACAGTTACTAGGTAAATCCAGTTGCTCATGTGGAAAAGGTTAAGTGACAGAACAAGATGAAAGATTATTTTTAATCAGAAGAAGAAAAATTAACTCACATTGCTAGTAGTTGTATACCGTACTTTGGCCCCAGTCACACGGCAAAGTTGCCACGGGAGAGGCACAGAAGGTGGGTGGATTATCCGGGCACGATCACACCCCAACATCTGGGAAGTGGAGCGCACCCATGGCTTACCGCCGACAATGCGCATTTAAAAACTAGTACCTCCAAGGTAGTAGTAAACGTTTGCCATGGGCTGCCTTCAGACGCCCGTGGTGTGATCGCGCCGGCGCGCGGCATTCCCCTCCAGTTTACCCGCTGGCGCTGAGGGAAGGACCCGTGCTGTGCCGCTGGTGCATCTGATCGCATAATCGCGGATCAAACTGCGCAGGGCAATTAGCCACACACACCCCCGCGCGATATCCGGCCCATGTGCCTTTGATATGGCCAATATTATCCGGCCTTTGATGATATGGCCAATATTATGTAAATGTGACGGATTGATTCTCCATTCTCAATCCTTGTGCCAACTTGCAGTTTCTTCTCTCAACACTCTTATTCCCTCATGGGAGCCCATTCTGCCTCTGTCCATTCCAGTCTTTTTTCAGTTACTGCCTCTGTGTTGTGGAACAATTCCCAAGGTGGTTCAGAAAAGGTACCAACACTGAGGGCCCCTGATAAGCTTTGTAAGACTGTCTCTTCTTCCAGTGAGAGGAGGGAGCCCCGGCTCAGTGGTAGAGCATCTGCTTTGCATGCAGAAGGTCCCAGGTTTGATCCATGATAACGTCAGTTAAAAGGCTCAAGTAGGTGGTGATGAGGAAGACCTCTGTTAGAGATCCTGGATAGGCACTGCCAGACGGAGTAGCAAGTACTAACTCTGACCTAGATGGACCAGTTGTCTGATCCAGTGTCAAACAGCTTTGTGTGTTCATATGGTTTTCCTTTGGGTGATGATAAATCCTAAATTAGACATGAATTGAGTGGTGTGTGTGTGTATGTAGACGGGTGGTCAGTGTATCAATGGTGTTCTGTTCTTGGAGCTTAAGGTTCTCTGATACAGTTCTTAACTGTGCTGCTTAGCCTTGGGGTTTGTAAGCTATCCTGAGCTAAAATAGGAAAAGCAGGCTATAACTATTTGAACTGTGAGTTTGCTTGTCAGTTGCCACATAGTAATGGCAAAATTAATTTGGTGTTTGCCTCTACAGGATCCCAAAGAAAGGCTTGGGTGCCAACCACAAACTGGATTCTCTGATATCAAATCGCATACATTCTTTCGCAGTATAGACTGGGATCTGGTAAAGTTGATTACTCCTATTTTAGTTTCATGGTGGTATTGGTGGTCTTGCAGTGTGTAATGCAGCCTGCCCTTAGAAACTTATCAAGCACATTGTACAAAGCCACTTTTGGAACATAGTTGTCAGTGTGAGCACTGAGATAACTGGAAATGTGTCGTGTGAATTGCAGGCTCTCCCTGAAATAGTTAAGTGTGAGACAGCGGCCTCCATCCCAACCACAGAGGATGAGTGAGCAATATTGGTTTCCAGGCTTAATGAGAGTCTCACATTTTAGCTGCAGAGAAACTGGTTTCCCCCCCCTCCCTAGGCATTTAACCTCTGTCAACAAGATGCCACTGTTGTGGATAGCTTGTTGGACTTGGACCAGGGAGGCCTCATTTTTGCATCCCTGCCCCTCTGTGAAGTCTACCTGGTGACCCTAGGCCTGTCTCTGTCCGTCACCCTAGCCTACTCCCATGTTGTAAGGTTAAAATGCATTAACCCATGTGCCCCAATTGTGCCACCCTGAACTCCTTGGAACAACAGGATATAATAGTGATAAATGTCAAATTGTCATTGAGGCATTTGGCTGGTTAAAAGCAGGAGCGGTGCAGACGGCATGTCACAAGTATTAACTGTAGACAACTTGTCTTGATGCCAAGTCTCTGCGTTTTGTCAGATCTATGATCTCTGTAAGAAATAATGTAAAAAATAGGGAAGGTGTCAGATGAATTTTACCGCATAAAAGGGAAAAAAAATGTGGTTAAGGATGCATCAGAGAGAGACCAAGCCTCTTTTGTTAGACTGCTTCCAATCTGGTACTTGTATTTATACATTTTCCCTTCATCAGACTTTCTTTGCTTGGCCATAAAACATTTAGAAACCCAGGAGTCCTGCAATACAATATAGCACAAGAACGTCTTCCAAGAAGAGAGAGGAAGTCTACCTATTTCATTATCTGGTTTTCTCCAGCAGAATAGTGACCTCCTGTGGCCAATCAGGCTCATCCAAGCTGACCTTGAAAGACTGGAACAATGCTTGGGTCTGATGGCTAGTCTCTGACAAAGGATGGGGGGATTCAACTCTGTCATCACTGTGACCTTTCTTTGTGACACTTGCCCTGTCCTTTGGACCCACGTACAGTAGCTCTTTGCAACCTTAGATCCATGAGAGCGTATTTGAGTCAATTGCGTTTGTAGACTTCAAGCAGGGTTTTAATTTTGCCGTTTACTCTAATTATTGAACTTGCGCCCTCTCAGCCAGAGCACTCTTTCACGTAGGCAGGCATTGAAGACGCTTGAGTCTGAATACACTTCTCTGTCTCAGTTGCAGCATAAATTTGTTCAGGCAGGGAGGAGGTCGTTTATTACCATATGTTCAAATGGGCATTGTATTTCTAAGAGGCCACCAGTATGGCAATGCATTTGGTGCCCACTACCTTTGGAAAACATGCTTTCATGTTCAGCAGAAGCGTGCCCCCACCCACGCATGTGTGAGCGAGTACTCACTTCTGCTGGAGATTATTTAAATATATACACATTCATATTTCAAGAGATAAATGCAACATTCGAGACATCATAAAGCCTGCCCACGTCCCCACCTCCCGCCGCTGGAATGGCTGTAGACTGGTTTTATATCTCCAAAGCATTTGTCTCAATTGATCTTTCGGTTTAAAAGCCTCCTTCATTTAGTTTTTATTGCAGTTCCTTCACACTCCGTGCCTTTTTCCTCTGCTTGAATAATAAAATTAGCATCTTAAAGCATTCTTAAATTTGAGAATCAAGGTAACTTGCCAGACAGTTTGTGGCTAGGCTCCAAAGTAATGTGAAACTAGTTCTGTGAAGCCTGAAAGAGTTTCAAGGGAAGGGTATGTATGTATGTGTGCAACAGTCCCGTCCCGTCCCCTGCCCCACAAACACGTGCTGCACAGCCACAAGGACTTTTCAAGCACCACTGGAGGAGGAGAGGGGTCAGATGTTCAAAGCAGCAAAAGTCAGAAATTCCACTGAGCTCACACAAGCCCCTTGTGTGAGCCTAAGCAGAGCGTTGGATCCCTGCCTGTTTGCTTAGCTGGTGTGTGTGTGTGTGTGCTGTAGTTTGCAAAATCAGTGGTGCATTTTTATTTCTGCCATGCCTTGTTTTGCCCAGCACGTGGCTTAAAAAATATGTTGGTGCGCCATATATTCTGGAGCTGTCTTGGTATAAAAATGAGAGAGATTAGAACTGTTAATTACTCATTCAACCATACCGCTGAGTATTAGCCTATTCATTTCCCCCCCACAACGGTTATTTATGTTGGAATTATTTGAGGAACACAGCCAGTATTTGGTTTGTGGATATTTATTTGGCTTGGGACTAAGCCTGCCAATTTGCACATGAATTAATTTCTGTGGGTGTACCTTCTGTCTCGGCCTGCTAGGGCACCAAAGGAGACCATTTCAGGCTTCCAGAAAGGAAACCAACCAATTTTTCAGCTCTGGTGCCGCTCTGTTGAATTTGTTTGATGAAACCCGCTTTGTTCAAATGCGTGGCCAAGTTCCAGAGAATCACTTTATATATGCTAAAGAGCTTGAGCATGGCCCGTGGGGGTGGGGAGGTGTTCATCTTTGAACAGCAGGCTCCCATGTTATATTGCAAATGGCCTTTGAAGGTCCCATCAGTTTCCAGAGGGGTTTGTTGCCTGGCATGCGAGTCTGCCGCTTGAGATATGGAATTCCAAAGCTACCCTTGGTCATTATGGAACAACTGGCACGGCCCCTTTTGGATCCGGCTCTATAACTTCCTTGGAAAGAGTTAAGACTTTTTGCCGTGTATACAATTAATAGTGGTAGGGTACTGGAATGCAGAAAAGGTTCTTACGAAGGTGTCACAGAAGTCCTAACGTTAGGCAAGGGAAATCAAACTGATTTGGCCAGTGCCTTGACCCCGTGTCTTGCAACAGGCCCTATCTGTACGCTGCTGGAACATTATTGTGGCAGTACTTGATTTCAGAATGCAGTGGAAGCCGTGCTCCGCTTCTCTGTGCGGCCAACTGTGACGATTTCCTCCAGTTAAGTTTGTCACAGGTGTTTTGCCTTGCGTCTCTCAAAACAGGATATCTTAAGTCATTTAGCCAAGGCTTGTCTTAACATTTACGAGTAAGTTTTGTCAGGACACGGATTCATTCAGATGTTCTCCCCAAACCCACTAGTAGGGCTGCCAAACCGCGGCGGGGGATCTGCATGTCTTCACAGGATCCCTGCCGCGGGGGACAGTGATACGCGTTGCACCGCTGTCGCCAGGATGTGACACTACGCGTCGCTCTGGCAACGGGGTCGTTTAGAGTCCAGGGATCCTGTGAAGACGTGCGGATCCCCCGCTGCGGCTTGACAGCCCTTCCCACTAGTGATCCTCCTAAACATGACATTCTAAGCATGATTGAAATCAGTGTTCTGAATTTTGTGTGCTTCAGCAAACTCACAGACCTTGTCGATATTTAGCAAACATGAGATTAGAAGAGGTCGGAGTCAGAGTGCTTCGGTAGGACCTTGTCGTAGAAAGCGAGGACACGAAGCAGCAGTGGATGTGAGCAGAGGCCCCAAACCCACTTTGTGACCTGTGGACACCCTGCCCAACATTTAATTTCTGGGCTTGCAGCAAACATTATCAGTATATTCTCAGGTTCTCTTCTGTATTTTAAGACTAGAGATCTGCCCCCTTAGGAGTGTGTGTGTGGAATCGCAAGAAGCTGCTTTGTTATGCTGAGTACTGAGGTAGCACACCATTTTTTTGTGAGTCTGCTAACTGCATTTTATTCCCCTTGTCTCCTCCCCCTCCCACTTGCAGCTGGAAAAGAAGCAGGCAACCCCCCCATTTCAGCCTCAGATCACAGACGATTACGGCTTGGATAACTTCGATACCCAGTTCACCAGCGAACCCGTACAACTAACTCCAGATGATGAGTACGGTTCCGTGTTTTTTGAACGTCCACCGTTCTTTTCCTCGCTGGGCTTTGCACGCGCCAGAGACTTTGCAAGCCTGGCCATGTTCCATATGAAAACAATCTCATAAGAGAACCTGTCTGTTTGCGTCAACAGGGGCTCAAAAGCTAAGTGACCGGGGTTGGGCGAGAAAGGCGTAGGAACAAAGAGACAAATCGATAAGGGGTGCTGCTTGGGTAGGCCCATAGCCTTCCCCTGCACTTGTACAGTAGCCGCCTCCCGTGTTGAAAGATCGTTTCAGATGGCTAGCCGTGTCGATCCATGGCAGAAGAGCAAGATTTGAGTCCAGCAGCACCAGAAGTCCAACAAAATTTCCAGGGCACAAGGTTTGGGGAGCCAGAGCTCCCTTGTGACTGACGAGAGGAATGTTGACCCTCTAAAGATTGTACCCTGGAACTCTTGTTGGTCTTTATTATTTAAATTTTTATCCCGCCCTCCCCGCCATAGCAGGCTCAGAGCGACTTACAATATGTACCAACAGGGCTATTTTGGGGCAGGAACGGAGTTCCGGCTGGCTCCCAAGTTGGCCACGCCCAGCAGGAACTCATTAGCATAATAGGCCACACCCAACAGCAGGAACTCATTCGGATTGGCTACATTAGGGGTGTGTGGCCTAACATGCAAAGGAGTTCTTGCTACAAAAAAAGCCCTGGGTTTTGGCAACAAACAAGGTCAACAGAATAAGAAGCAAAAGGTGGGTGTGGCTGGATGAGCACACTTCTGGTAACATGGGGGTGTGGCCTAATGTGCTAATAAGCTGTGCTGTCAGGGGTGTGGCCCAATATGCTAATGAGTTCCTGCTGGGCTTTTTCTACAAAAAGAGCCCTGTTAAATGTATACATTAAGACTCCACAATATTAAAAACAGAATTCAACTAAAATTACTATATATAAAACCATAACTACTCCAAATATAAATACGATAACAGATGGCAGTGTTCTCTCGACAACTGAATGGTTGCCTACCCCCCAACCCAGGCTGTTGGTCGGCAGGCTGGCAATGATGTTGATGTCGGGGGCAAGGCCATGATGTTAAAGGCGGCCCCCTAACTGAAAGCCTGGTGGAAGAGCTCCGTTTTACAGGCCGGGAGCTCACATAAGGTCCCGCAGGGCCCTGATGTCCTCCGGGAGCTCATTCCACTAGTAAGGGGCCGCCACAGAAAAGGCCCTGGCCTTTAAGGTGCCACTGGACTTTCAGTGTTGAAAGGAACCCACTCTCCATCTTTTCCCCTGTATCCTTTCACGCACCTTACTCAACACTCTTAAGAATGAGACTATAGGGGGGGAGAGGCCGTGGCTCAGTGATAGAGCATCGGCTTGGCAATGCGGAAGATCCCTGGTTTAACCCCTGCCATTTCCAGTTCAAAGGATTAGGTAGCAGGTGATGGGAAAGATCTCTATCTGAGATCCTGGAGAGGCACTGCCATCCTTAGTGACTTTGATGGACTGATTCAGTATAAGGCAGCTTCATGTGTTCAGTATGTACTTCTGCACTCATTTCTTGGATATTAGCCATGTATGATAGATTAGCCATGAGCCAAAGGACGATGCGATATATTAAGGCTTTTCAGCCCCTCACCTTCATCCCGTAAATCACTGTTCCTAAAGGTGAGCAGCAGCAACTCACCTAGAGGAGTGTTGTGTCATGAGGGGCTCCTGCTGGAGCAGAAACTTACCCATTGCTTTGCGTTCCTTGAAAAGCCATGATCTGTACAGGGAGGGTACGCGTGCATGCATGTCTTTGGGTCCCAACCTAGGTTTATATTGTACAAAGCTCATGCGTACTTTAAAAAAAAGCAACACTGAAATAGCTGCAAACGATAGGTAACTTGAGTATGTTCTGTTTTCAGAGACGTAATAAAAAGAATAGACCAGTCGGAGTTTGAAGGATTTGAATATATTAATCCCTTGTTGCTGTCGGCTGAGGAAACGGTATGAGAAAGACGGCATCTGCATCGAGGACAAACAATGTGAATGAACTTTTACATTTAATCCTTAACAACAGTATATGCATGCAAGGCTGGGGGGAACTGTACGGTTTTGAATGGAGACCAATGACGACGATTGCTGCTGAAAACTCAAAAAGAACATGATTTTTTGGTGGGTGTCTTCCTCTTATTTTTTTTGAAAAAAGTTTGGGGCACTGACTGACACAACCGGCTTCACGAAGAAATCTACATTTCGTGCCTGCTTCATGAAGGGTCAGTGGTTCATTGCATCCTCCAGGGGGGAAAGGAGGGAGAGATTCCAAACCACGTTAAAAGCCATGTGCTTTTGATGGACGTTCGATGTGACGAGCTACTAGAACAGTGTGTAACATCTTGAAGAATAAAAAAATGTTAGTGGTGTTGAAGCTTACTTTAGATGCCTTTTTTTCCACAAGTGGTACCTATCTTAAATGTGTCAGTTTTATAAATACATACATATATATATATATAATGTAATTATATATATATATATATATAAAGAAATTAAAAGGAGCTGTGTTTTATTAGCAATTAAAACAAATTTGGGTACAGAATTTAAGTGCCTAAATGGATAAAGTACATAAGGAATATTCCATATTTGGAACACTTGATAACCCTGGTAAGTTCTGGTTATTTAAAAAAGAAAGAAAGAAGTATTTTACACACGGAACATACAAATAACAGCTGCTATCTTAATACTAACTTATCTCCATAGAACTCTTAGAAGGGAGCAGAGGTCTCAGCAATAACCATTCTAAATTACAGCTTATCAATTATAACACCTAGATGACGCTTGATGTGGGAGGGGGAAAATTACCAAATCTCTTTCAGAAAATTTTAAATTTGCACATGGTGGATGACTGAAAATACTTGAGCAGTGCCTACAATGTCTTGTGTTGTATACTAGATTTTTGGAAGAAAAAAAATATTTTTATCGATGCAATATTCGAAAGGAACAATGGAAACATAATGGATCGTAGCCTTAAAAGTTTAAAAACAAATTCTAGAATATCCATCAACATATTGCATTTTTTTCTGATAAAGCACACCTCCTACTTAAAACTACCTGCTTTGAAAAGTTCTGCGTGTGCCATTGACTAGTTCTCCCAGAGAACGTTTCAGCAAAGGCCACACATGCGTCAAAGCAGTAACTTAAATGAAGGAGAAAAAAAATGAACAGATATATGAGTATTGTAGAAAGATGAGAAACGCCCCTATTCCCTTTGGAAACTGCAGAGTCTTGTGTCAGGTTAAGGATTTGTCCGCTCTGGAACTGAAATACCGGCGATTTGTTTTTTTAGGACAAACCAGAGTGCGTTGCTGTTTAAAACCTTTCAGAATCCTAGAACGATGTATCAGCCTCTTTATGGATGCAGGCAGAGGCAGTATTTCATTTTTTGGTAGGTTTTTGTTCCAACTCCATTGAGTAGCTTGCAGTCCTGGGGAGGGGGAGTTCTGCAGAAAGGCGAGAAACCCCTGTGTGCCATGACCTCTCACCTCAAGACGACTTGCAAGGGTTTTCACTTTTGCTTTTATTGTATAGGTTTCTCAGGGTGCAGCATTCCATTAGGTGCTGAACACAACATCTCATTGCATTCAAGTCCATGAGGTGCTAGGATAAGACTGCCAAATCATGGTCCTGAAAACCTTCTCAAGAAACCCATCGGTTGAGACTACCCTTTGTATATCCCTCACCCTGTCCACAATTAACGCACATCTGTGACGATTCATACTAAGCAGGATACATTCAAATCAGCACTTTAAAAAAAAAAGTTCAGTTGGAAGTACCTTGCCCAAATGCTTGGGGATTTAGATAACCAAGTTACCTACTTAAAAGAGAATCCCATTTTCCTTTTAAAAAGAACCATCGGGGGGTTTTTCCACAAAAAAATGCTTCCCCCCCCTTCTCTGTGAATTATTCAGTGTACCCTAAAATGTTCTGTGTCTCTGTGTCTTGGTTTTACAACTGAACAGCTGGTTTTTGCATGGCAGTGTGACACACAATGATGCTGTCTGGGTCTCGGGCAAAGGGGACAGTCAAAACGTTGAGGGTTTCTTACCCTAAACTTCTGTGATATCCGAACACTACAACAGGGCAAGCGGGTGAACACCACACTTGCTCATCTGATTATAACAAAAACCAGTCCTTGATTTACTCACAAATTTAAGGAATTTTACGATGTTGCTGTGTTGCCAAATAAGTTGCTGGTTACAAGTTAGTCGCTCATGTGCAAGTGTATAACTAATGTTCTGTTCACAATGAAGGGGAAATTTTTTATATGAAGTACTTGTTTTATAAATTAAAGAATAAAAAATGAAGGATGTAATTAAATGTGTGGTTTAAAGAAAAAATCCTAATATATTGCAAAATGGATCTGGTGACGATATAATTGTCTTAGGTATGTAAATGAAATGTAAATGAAAATTCTCTAGCTAATTTAATGATTGTAAAACAGTAAAATATGTTCTTGTAGTTTTGTATAATTAATTAGTTGAGATCTTTGGCCAGTTTTATTTGTGCAGAAGATGGTATACTAACCCATAAACAGCTAAGATCCATTTATATTCTTGCACATCTATTAAAGACTTTAATGAAAAAGCTTAGACTGTTGTTGTTTCACTAAGCAGAAATGTTAGCAGTAGAATTCTCATTGAGTTTAAGTTTCGATTACAGTCACAGATTTCTTTTTTGGAGCTTTTAAGTCTAAGCCTAATTACCCAAACGTTAGCATTGGTTGTATTTAGGTTCACAGCATTTGATGTTTTTACATGCAAGTCAGGCTTATTCTTAAGGAAGAAAATGAGTGTGCATTTGGATCCTTGTTGCCTAATCGTAAAACACCATTTGCTGTACTGCTAAGATCAAAACGATTCTTCTTGGTAAAGTACTGACAGTTTCGGTCAGTGTCTTTACCAGGTGTTGGTGCAAGAATGCTGAACTTGCTAAGGTGTTTGTGGAGCTATGTTAAAATTATGGTTTCTTAAGTCCTTTTAAAACCTTCAGAAATGCAGTTCAGAAGAGGATAGAGGAATGATCTGAATAAGACCACAAAAATGGTAGGAGAGTAAATTCTAACCACCTTTTAACCTTTTCATTTAAGGGTTCTTTTTAATGCATATTGGGAGCATACAATTTCAAAAAGCTTCCTGGTCAGTTAAACCTCCCCACTGAAGTAGATGAAAAAGTCATACTGCAGTGAATGATTTTTTAAAATTCTATAAAGTTTTATTAAACTATCCGACCCTATGAAACACATTCTTCAATAATACTCGTTTGTGTGCAAAGCCATAGTGTAACCAGATGTGCATGCAGATTCCTTTGATTCTCCCACTGATACTCCCCAAGTAGTCCCACTGCAAGATCTGGATGCAAACAGAGTTTACAGCATAATGGAAGATGAATTAAGTGTCCCCTTGAACTTCTGCTTTTCTTGTTAAGCACAGTAATCAGGTGTGAGACTCCCTAAATTTCTCTGTCAACACTGCCTGTTTCTCAGATGACTTCTTGATTCTTGTTAAGTTACCAAATCACATCTTCCGTACTCTCAGACAAGCATTTAGCAAGATGACTGTCACGGTCCAGTTGTGACAACCTAGAAAGCAAGAACAACATTGATCAGATGTGCCAATGAAATTAGCCCCAAACTGCACAAAACTGGCAAAGTAGCAGCAACAGCAGCTCATGAGCTTCATGTTTCTAGGTAATGAGTAACATGCATCTCCAACCATTCTTGACTTCACGGGGGGTGGGGGGGTGGGGTTCCTGTGGACATAATTCTGGATGAAGAACCTCGGCCCTGAGCCCCTTTTCTAAAATATTATCCTATTTTAGAATGTGGATACTCTGATGTATTGAGTACTTCATTTATACTGACTGGGCTACCTTGAAGCTCTCCCGTTTCTGTAAGTCATACAAAAGGCATGTAAGCTTTCAGCTCTTCTGGATGACAAGCGACCAAGTTTCTAATGTTCTGTTCAAACTGTGTAAGCATCAGGTCGATTACAGGGCATAACGCTGATTGAGATATATAGATAGATATATATATACACATGCACTCGTGTGTGTATATATGTGTGTGTGTGTATATATATATATTTATAGGGGCTGCAGTGGCTCAAGTGGCTAAGACGCTGAACTGCAGGCTGGAAGGTCGGTAGTTCAGCAGTTTGAGACCCGAGTGCCACATGAAGGAGTGAGCTCCCGTCTCGGGTCCCCGCTCCTGCCAACCTAGCAGCTCGAAAGCAAGAAATTGCAAGTAGATAAATAGGTACCGCTTCGGTGGGAAGGTAACAGCGTTCCGTGTGCCTTGGCATCTAGTCATGCCAGCCACATAACCACGGAAATGTCTTTGGACAGCGCTGGCTCTTCGGCTTGGAAACGGAGATGAGCACCGCATCCCTAGAGTCGGAGTCAACTGGCTTTCGAGCAAGGGAAACCTTTACCTGTATATATTTATATTTATGTATGCAGAGGTGGTGTGATTGGATTTCATACTGTAATGAAAATGAATTCCAGAGAGGTATAGTGACTTCTTACGTTCCAGTGAAGTGGGACTGACACATGGGACAGCAGTCAAGCATCGAGATGTCTTCATTCCGGCACGCTGGCTTCTGCTGAAGGCCACTGACGCTGGAATGAGCAGGACTTCCTTGGGAAGGTAATAGTGATGTGGTCCTTTTTTGTGCCAGGGTGTCCTTATTGGAAGCCTTTTCACTTTCTCTCGTGCTTTTCTGCTGGCTCTGTGTAGAAGTCTTTTCCCAAAGCTCTCGCAAGCCTAACTGCTGCTGCCCGGCTGCTGGTGCGAAAGTCCTGGGTGAGTTCTGACGGCGAGTGCTTGGAGAGTTTTTAATCTTCTTCCCACAATCCTTAGAGGAATGTCCCTTGCCACGCCCCGTTTTTGATCCTTTAGGGGTGTGCTCATTGGCTACGAGGGGCGTCTGCTCAGGAACGGGAGAAATGGTATTGGATCGCTCATCGTCATTAATTTCTCGTTCTGCTATACTGGTAGTTGGGTCCTCTACGTTTTGAGGAATCCTGCGATCGATCGCGTAGACCTCTCTGCGGTAAAGTGGAAAGGGCTCCCACTGAAACTGTTCCAAGCCAATATTAAATGTTTCTGGCTTTGGCTGAGTGTCTGTAATCTGAGAGCTCTGTAACACAGACAAAACGCAAGTTGTCCTAAAGGTAAATACATAAGATGGTCACGACTGTCTTGTAAAATCTGCCAGTTTCTCAAGTGACATTTTAAGCGTTTTAAAAATAGAAGCTCCCCAGATCTGATAGAGACAGGCCTAGTATATCATAAGCTAGCAGAAGATGCTTTCTCCCGCTGTGCTTAATTTCTATTTGGGGAAGCTAGAGGCAGCAAATTCAAGGAAGGGGGGGAAATCTCGCTTTGAACTTAATGTGTGTGAATTTTCTGGGTACCTTTCCACCGAATATTGCTGTATGTCTGAGCAAGACTTGAGTTTTTGAAGACTTTTTAAAAGAGGGTTTCCTCTTACCTTGTTAAGAAACTCTGGAAACTTGGCCACTTTCCTCAAGGTTAAAAGCGTTTCAGCTGGGGGTCTGCGACCTTGAGTAATGCCACCCATGTCCTGTCAGCCTCACTTAAATCTGCCGCTTCAAACCAGCCTGAGCTGCTGTCCTCTGTCCTGCAAAATAAAGAGCTCTGGAGGATGACAGCATATCTACTGTCCTCTTGTCAAAGTCAAATGTCACACTTACAAATATCAACAGTCAAAGCAGGTATTTTTTCCAGCAAACAGTGCCAGGTTTACTAATCTGCAAAGCAATTGTGTGGGCTGTTGATTGGTGTACCTCCCTTTCACCAATCTCTTTTTTTATATATATCAAACTACAAAACTACTACAGAAAAAAGGAAGGGGGGGACTACATATATAGGATAAAGCAAAAGAACCCACAACTAACTAAAAACCCAAGATCTTCACTAGCTTAGTTACAGCAAATCTTCACTTCACTTAGATTTTTATAAACTGAGTCAAACATTTGTATTACTTTCTTTAACTCTTAAATTTAACTGTCTAGAAACAGTACCCCCCAATCCATCCCCTTTCAGAGTTCTCAAAGGCACAATTCAGAGTCCTTCAGCCTTCACTTCTCCTTTCCTCGTCTCTTCGTCTTCTTCACCAATCTTGACTTGCATCTATTATTATTCCACCTTCCCTCAATATTTGGGGCTCAGGACGGGGTACAGCATTTAAATACAATTTAAAATAATTTAAAATATATATATAGCAGTCATTCCCAAAAGGCACCTAAAAACCAATTATCTTTAACCCCCCCCCGGGGGGGGAGTGGATGGAAAAAGAGGCCATGCCAATTAAGACCGTTGGTTGAAAACCCTTTTGGTTACACTGTTGGTTAGAAAGCACTGGTTAAAAAAATAATCTAGTTTAGCCCTCCTCTCTATAGCAGTTTCTCTGCTGTGCAAAACAGCATAGCAGAAAATACAGAACACAAATTGTTCATTGTGTAAAAACTGGGCAATGTCAGATGAGGCAATTTTGGTTGTTTTTCTTTTGAGGCAAGCAATCTCCCTGGAGTGCCCAGTCTAAACAATGAATATAATTCCGCTGAGCTACTTAATTCCTAGTGTGCTAATATTAGTTAAACTGACCCAGTCCTCTGTTGGCACAGATTGGGTAACCCCCAGTTTGTAATTCTGGACATTAATGTACTTCTGCTCCTGTCTCCCATTCCTGATGCCTTCCTGTAAAGTAGGTGGTCTGAGTACCTTTCCCAGTTCCTGTGTCCATGTTTAGAGCAGTCTAAGCAATATCTCGTATCGTGACACAACCCCTTCTGCACTTGAATAACTATGGTGGTCTGAGATCCCATAAGCAGCCAGCTTGGTGTAATGCTTAAGTGCACGGACTGTAGTCCGGGAGAACAAGGTTTGATTCCCCACTCCTCCACTTGCAGCTGCTGGAGTGACCTTGGGTCAGTCACAAGTTCTTTCAGAGCTGCTCTCTCGACAGACCCCTGCCTACCTCACAGGGTGTCCGTAGTGGGGAGGGGAAGGGAAAGGAGTCTGTAAGCTGCTCTGAGACTCCGAGTGAAGGGCAAGAATATAAATCCAATCTCTTCTCTTCTTCAATAGCCTTCATCCAATGCAAACAGCCAAATCCCCAGTGAAACTCCTGAAGCAGCATCACAACCAGTGTTCCCGCTAAGCTGAGTTAGTGTGAGTTAGCTCACAGTTTTTTAGCCTCCAGCTCAAAGATTTTTGTCTTCGCTCAGGGAGGGCTCCAGAGCCAACTAATTGATGCAGGAGCCAAATCGCTCACTCACAGCTCTCATGCCAGTAGCTCACAAAGTAGAATTTTTGCTCATGAGACCACAGCTTAGAGGGAACATTGATCACAACCCCTTTTCCATATCTATCCATCCATCCATCTCTATATTTTGGTTTAGTGAATGACAGGGCTAGTTGTTTACAATGGAAAAAAATATTCAAGGCTGTAAACTGTCTTCAGCTTGTTATCAGAAGGGGCAGCACAGGTGGCTCAAACGCGGTATGCAGTTCCGCCGTTTGCAACAGCAATCCTATGCCGTCTGCTCTCGGCATCAAGAATGGCCATGAACTAAGCTGAAGTTTTCCATTTACTATCATGAGCTACTCAGCTTGAGTTCACTTGGTGTCTACCAGAACAAAGTTTGAGTCCAGTGGCACCTTTAAAACCAACAACATTTAATTCCGGGTATAAGCTTTAGTGTGCATGCACACTTCTTCATGCACATAAAAGCTTATGCGCAGAATTAAACGTCGTTGGTCTTAAAGGTGCCACTGGACTCAAAGGTGCCATATGTCCTCATTTTCCCTTTTCAAAATACGCTAACCCTAATCAACGAAATGCCAGGTCCCCCCTTGGGTGATGGGGCGTAGGGTGGCCAGCTCCAGGCTGGGAAAACTGGAGATTTGGGGATGGAGACTGGGAAGGACAGGGACCTCCTTGGGGTGCAATGCCCTAGAGTCCCACCCTCCAGAGCAGCCCTGTTCTCCAACGGAACTGATCTCTGTAGTCTCGAGATGAGCTGTAATTCGGGGGGGGGTCCCCCCCCCAGTCCCTGTCTGGTAGGATTGCCCGCCTCGAGGTGGTGCCTGGAAATTCCCTGCTATTATAACGGATCTCCAAGCCCCACAGAAATCAGTTCACCTGGAGAAAATGGCCCCACTTCGGAAGTTGGACTCTATGGCATTAGGCCCCCCAGCCTCTCCTTCCCAGGCTTCACCCTCAAAATCTCCAGGTATTTCCCAACCTGGAGCTGGCAAGAACATAAGAGAAGCCAATGTTAGATCAGGCCAATGGCCCAGCCAGTCCAACACTCTGTCAGAGAATGGCCAAAAATACCTGGTGCCGTCAGGATGTCCAGCAGTGGACACTAGAAGCCCTCCCACTGTTGCCCCCCCCCCAAGCACCAAGAAGACAGAGCGTCCCTTGCCCCAGACCGAGAGATCCTATCTATACCTTGTGGCTAATAGCCACGGATGGACCTCTGCTACTTATGCTTATCTCATTCCCTTTTGAAGCCATCTATGCTTGTAGCTGCCACCACCTCCTGTGGCGGTGAATTCCATGTGTGAATTACTCTTTGGGTGAAGAAGGACTTCCTTTGATCCCGACCGCTCAGCCATTTCATGGAGTGCCCGCGAGTCCTCCTTTCTCTGCCTATCCCACGCATCATCTCGTAAACCTTCATCGTGTCTGTCGTTTCTCCAAGCCGAAGAGCCCCACGCGCCTTAGCCCCTCTCCACGGGGGAAAGTGTTCCGACCCTTTTCTCATTCTAGTGGCCCCTTTCTGCACTTTCCCCAATGCCAACCCTGCCAGTGTGTCCCTCTAAGCTGAGTTAGTGTGAGCCAGCTCACAGTTTTTTAGCCTCCGGCTCCCATGGTTTTTGTCTTGGCTCAGGAAAGGTGGCTCCAGAGCAAACTAGTTTAAGCAGCAGCCAAATCACTTGCTCACAACTTTAATGCCAGTGGCTCACAAGGTAGAAGTTTTGCTCACAGGACTCCATAGCTTAGAGGGAGCATTGCACCCTACCCGCTGGAGGCTCGCCGGCTCACAGAAGATCGGGCTGCGCTTGTGGCGTTACCTCCTCCTGGTCCCCCCCCCTTTCCCAGGTAGTTTCGCCCCCCCCCTTTCCCAGGTAGTTTCGCCCGGGGGGG